AATTCGGTGCATAGTATGATATTAGTGTAACTAATTTGTCTTCTATGTGTCCCTTCAAGAATAAATATCTACCCCCTGGGTCCCTAATCTCCATCAAAGAGTTAAAACTAGTCTGAGTGGAAAAACAAATGGCCACTCCCTTGGTCTTATCTGGTGCATTGCCCAGAAAAAACTTCGGGTAATGTGCGTTTATATATTTAGGTTGATAGCTTGCCGGGAAATGGGTTTCCTGCATAAACAAGATCCCAACCTTTAATGAGTGGTAATACTGGAAAGCCATTTTCCTCTTTATCGGGGAGTCTAGCCCCCTGGCATTATGGGATGCAAACACTACTGGTGTCTTAGCTATCATCCAAACCTATTTCTTGGGTGAGTCCTTCTACATTTAAGGTATGGGTCAATGGGGGAAAGTGAGCAGCCATCCACACAAAAAACGTACATACAACACCTACTCGAAACATATACAAAACAACAAATTTCATGGGCAGGTCCCCCTCCCACCCATCCCATATTCAAGGGTATTAACCCCATGTCAACACTCGATTTAACCGCCATCTCGGGGAATCCAGAGAATTCGGTCAAATCCAGGCACACAACCGCCTAGTACTGTCAGATCCCCGCTCCACATTATGTTATTTACTATATATATACTGTGCCCTTTCTTACTACTATAACTACAAACCGGAGAGAAACATATAGACAATGTATAGAGAAGGAAAAAAAAAAGAGAAAATATGCATTCAAATAAAGGGCAACACCCCTTCTAATTTTTTCCTCCTGGGGGGGATGCTATTCTTCCCTTTTGACTTCTGCCAAGAGGTGATAATGAACGCTGTGCCCTATGTCCATAGAGGTGATAATGAACGCTGTGCCCTATGTTCAGTCCAGCCCCCATTGTCCAAACGTGATCTTTCCCAGTCCTCAGGAAGTAATCCCAGCTTTCTCATCAGTTGTTCACCTTCAGCATATGTTGTGATAGAATAAGGCTTACTTCGGAAAGAAAAAGTCAGTCTAAAAGGGAACGCCCATCTATATTTTATCTCCTTCGTTATTAAAATCTGTAGCAAGGGTTCCAAGGCGCGCCTTTTTTGTATTGTTGCCGGAGAAATATCTGCAAAAATTTGAATAGCATGCCCCATAATAGATAGCTCTGAGCGTTGCCTCGCACTTTGCATGATCTGTTCCTTTGTTTTGTAAAAGTGTGGTTTAACAATAACATCTCTAGCCTGTCCATCGAGTCTCTTGGATACAAGGGCCCGATGGATTCTATCCAGCTCCAATTTATGTTCCTCTGCTTCAGGCAATAAATCCTTCATAAGGAGTTTCACATTCAGTTCCAAATCAGTCACTGTTTCCGGGAGCCCCCTAATACGGAAATTATGACGGCGTGATCTATTCTCCATATCATCCACTTTAGAAAATACCTCCTCCATTTGATACTGGAGATGCTGTATATCCTTCACATTTTGATTAGTGCGTGTTACAGTTTCGTCCAACTCTTGGAGATCAGTTCTAATCTCAGTGGTAATCTGTTTGGCCATTTTCTGCAGCCCTTGTTCCAGCATTTCCGAAAATCTCATAAAAATGCTATTTTCCTCCAGCCCTCCTCCAAAATTCACCTCAATATCAGCACTAAGAGGACTAGAGGGAAGGGAAGCCTGTTGTAATAAAAGCATATCTTCTAGTGTCCTTTCAATTAATGAAGACGTTGAGGCAGGGGAATGCTCCCTTCTAGATTGTTTACTCACCACTGCCTTCTTCATAGAAGCCATTTTTTCTCTCTCTCTCTGTGCTGTATCAATCCCTCCACGAGGGCTCGGGACTGTAGCCATCTGTGTTTTATTGTTCGCTGTTTTGGATCCCGCTCGGGGTTGCACGTCTTTTTTCTTTGATGTTCCCCCGGCCATCCTGACTTGTCAGCCCGCTACAGATAGTCTCCACGTTTCTCCTCCTTACAGCCTCCGGTGCTTGTCTGCTATAGGAGCGGGGACTCCATCCGCCTAGGAGCGAGGCTCACGGAGCAGACATCCGAACGGACATCCGGCCCGCTGAACTCGGCGCCTCATCGACCTCCTCTATGCTCACTTTCTAACCTCAAGCAAGAATCTGGGCGCATGCAATTTTAAGGCTTGACATGTTTGGTGTCTATTTACCCGACCTGACCCCGACTTTTTTTTCATTTATGGTACTATTTTCATTGTATCGTAAAAAAAAATAACCCTTCCCCCCGTGGTGATTATATACCTCCAAAAGAAAGCTCTATCTGTCCCCAAAATTCTTTAACATAAATTGCAAGGCTATAGTCCGGTCATGCTGACTGGTGACATTTTTGACTGGTGAGACACCATCAAATTTTTCAAGCCTTGATCATTTTAAATTACACCTATGATAAAAATGATAGACCTTTCATTTCTTTGTAAGTGGGCAAACTTACAAAATCTGCAGGGGATCAAATAATTTTCCTCACTGTAGCTCAAACTGTCCAGACATTTCCTACTTTCACATTGCTTCCTTGTCTGCAGGATTGACACGGGGCTTCCAGGGATCCTTCAGCTCTGAATTTGCCTGGGTGTTTGTGGTATTCTGACCTGGTCAGCATTCTAACTGGGGCTCCGTGGACTCAGGCAGATCTTCTGTCTTAAGGGCTCATTTGTCATTGTGCTTTGCAGTCCCTGGATTAGCGGTTTGGTTTGACACCCAGGAGTTGAGACATCTCTGAATTCCTATTCCCTAGTATCCTAGCTTTTCTCGTGGAAATTTTCCATGTTGGTTATCTTGCTTTTTTGTGGTCTGACCTGGTCTAGCAGTTGACCTTATCCCTGGAATATGCATTAGGTTTTTTAAATTTGGCATGAGCTCTTGTACATTATCCACTTGGGTAGGTTTGCAGGCGGCAGTGTACCTGTGCTGCCTGTGGGGAGTTAGTTTTCTCCCACCCCTCGATAGACACTGCTTTGGGATGTCCCAAATGTCAGATTCAAGATCTCAGCTGTGTCCTTAAATGAATGTGTAGCGATAACTCCCCGCAGAGAGCCGCTGATTGCCTGGTCCTCATCTAGTCAGTCTAGGGGTTGATTCCCAGCCTGCACTAACCGCCCATAAATTGATGTCCACTTCAGCATTATGATGCTAATTAAACAGTTTATTAAATGGCTTGCTTTGGGAGAGAGGGTACAGGGGTTCTAGGTACACAGGTTTCCTTAGCTCGAGACTCACCAGATCTCATCTTCAAGGGAATTCACATCCACAATCCATGAAAGAAACACTGACCGGGCTCTGAAGTCCACATAAATCCAGGGCACCTCTCAGGCCTCTTCCATGTTGGAAGCCTCAGGGGAACATCTTCCCTTACTTCGGCCACTGCCCACCCCCAGGCCTTGGCCTAGCCCTGAGGGCATGCTGAACAGGACCCAGCCCTAATCCATGGCTGGTCCAGGCGAGAGAGAGAGAGCACATGGCAGCTCCCACCCATATATGTACACTTTGTCAGCAGACATCACTGGCTGCAAGAAGCCCAGTGACTGGCTGCTGTACTGTACACATCACAGTGTCTCCTATTGGCTGTCCCCCCAATATGACAGAGTCTCACTCCGCCCAGGGGGATACAGACAAGGTTAGACACCTGGGCATTAACCATGTACTTGCTGCTACAAATCCAGCCAGGCTGTCTACAGCCCTGGCACATCACTAAATGCATGGTAGTCACATCACAAAAGGTGATGGGCGCTACAAATGAAAGAGAAAATATTTTTTTTCCCCTACTCACCGTAAAATACTTTTCTCTACGTTTATTATAGGACACAGCACCCATGGCTCTGGGCATGTGTGTGACCATTTATTGTTATGTACTGCTTGTGATTGAGCTACCTTGGGGGTTTGGCTACCTTAACGCCCCGTTCACATTGAGCGATTTATCGCGCGATTTTTGTAGCGATATCGCTCATATTTCCGCACTATATCGCTCTATGTAGCTTCACCAATACATTTCAATGTAGCTGTTCACATCTCGTCGCTCAATGTCGCTCAATATCGCTTGTAGCTTGTCGCTTCTACATGACCCTTTTTTAGAGCGATTTTGAGCGATATTGCTCCTGATTGCATACAGCCCAATAGGAAGATGTTGCGCGACACGTCGCTCAATGTCGCTCGTCGCTCAATGTCGCGCGATTTGCATGTCGCTCAGTGTGAATGGGGTCTAAAGGTCCGTACTTAGGCTGTGCTTTTATTGTCTGCTCCTGAAGGTGGCGATACAGCCCAACTGTCAGTCAAGATCTCAGCGGTGTCCATTAATGAACACAGAAAAGGATTTTACGGCGATTACAGAAATCCTTTAAAAAAAAAATCCTGGGAGGTGGTGGGGGGTCTAGAGACAAAGGCCAGAGTTCAAGGCGATCCATGTAATATTTTGTCATTGCTTACCTGTACTGCAATTGTAATTACAGTACTGTAGACAACAGATTGGAGATGAGCATGGACCGCTACTACTGACTGGCTCCTGTGTAAGGAGTATGGAACGTAAATGTGCAGGGTTGCTAGTATGGATGACATGCGCGCTCATGAGCTGAGCTGTGGGTGTGACTCTACTCCTAGGAAGTTGTGCAGGGTGAAGCACAATGTGAAGTTCTAAGGGGCTGAGGGAGACAACTTAGTGCACATATATAGGTCAATTGTGTGTGGGTCTATTGGTTGCACAATATGGTATTACCTGACAATAGTACTTAATTATACTGTACACTCCTTGCATTACTGGGAAGGTTTTTTTTCTACTTTAAAGAGAAATGGTGTATGTGTGTGTATATATGTATGTATGTGTATATTTTATGTTTTTTAAAATATACAGTATATTTTTTGGCTAGTACATTCTAAAAATGTGGTGTCTGGATAGGACTGTCAGCTCTTTTTAGAGCTGAATTTTTCATGTGATCATGCTCTGTATTCTTATGAACTATAGTGTCTTTTTTGATTTATTCCCATGCTAATTTTATATTTTTAATTTTCAGGTGGGAGACATTAGACAGCTTCATGCAACATGATGTCCAGGAATTGTGCAGGGTGGTAAGTAAAACAAAATTTTTTTATAATTTGTTTTATACAATAGGGAATTTTGTCCCTGACAAACCACTTAGTTTACCACTTAAAGAAACAATCCAATCCAACAATCTGAAGATTCTGCATGAAGGTGTTCTTCCACTTTTACAAATGGAACATTGATTGTAAATCTTTGGGGGTCCTTGGCTAGTTTGTCTTTCATGCATTTAAATGCAGAGTGTACCCCTTTAGGTTCTTAAAATCCCTTGCTTCTGGCACTCTTCAGCTGTTCCTTTTTTTTCTCCCTGAGCAAATGAATGCACCTTCCCCCCCAAGTCCACTTGGTTTCTTCACAACCCAATACCCCTTGCCCCAGTCCCTGAGTCAGCTCCATTTCTGATGCTGTGCCCAATCACGCTAGTTTGTGTCCTCCCGTTACCCTAAGGAGAACTATGGGGAAAACACTGACCCCATAGTTCTCCTTTAAGGCCCCTCATCACACGGGGAACTGCTTCTCTCTCCTCCCTTGCAGCAGCATTAGGGGGCCCCTTTTTCCCATCTCTTCTCAGTCTACCTCTTCTCTCTGCTATTGCGACTTTAGTTCCAGCCTGTTGGGTCTGTCTCTGGTGTGATTTCTCATCCTCTCTATCTTGTGGCTGGTAAGGATTCGTATCACCATGTCTGGAAATCCGCCCAGTTCAGGATCCAACAATGTAGAAGAAACTACTTTTTTTTTTGGGGGGGGGGGGGGGGGTGATTAAGTCTGGACAATAATGATCAATGAAAGAGACCCCAGTCTTTTTCATTGAAGAATCGTTATTGTCCAGACTTTATTCCCCCCACCCAAAAAAAACCCAGTGGTTTCTGCTACATAGTTGGATCCTGCAATGGGTGGATTTCCAGGTTTGGACTTCGTTAAGCACCATCTAGCTTCTACTGTGTCTTCACTACCACGAAGGAGTGGGTGTCCATGTGTCAGGAAAGAGAGTCTAATATCAAGTAGTCACCTGCACTCCATACAGCCTATAGACCTAAACGGGAGATTGGTGCTTGAAGTGATAACACGGATGGCACCGTTTCAGATGCAGTCCACAACAGAAGTCACCAGTCCACAGAAGGAAAGAGAGTCTGGGATCTACTTTGGATGATACTGTGAGTCTGTCTCCCTCACTAATCCCCTGGGCGATCCCTTGGAATCTCATTCCTCTGTTGGTAACCTCTGGTTAATGGTGGAGATGCTTATGCATGTAGGTTCACCTCTGACTTTGCATTGCAGTTGAAGATCATTGAAGGTCTCGTGTCTGCTTGGATTGTTGGCAGGTAGAACACAATTCTCTACTGCTGCAGGTATTCTTAAACAAGAACGGAGATTGGCTGATTTGAAGCCTTCGAGAGAGCAAATTCCTAAGGTCTCTGGTGGATTCAGGAGTCATTTCAAGCCCTTGTTGGCTGTTTTGTTTTATCTGACGCAGGGTTTTTCCTGGTAAGTATTGTTCAACAAGGTTGGTGGTCTGGTCAGACAATCTTTTCAGACAGAGTTCCCGTTTTGTTGTTGATCATAGGGGTCAGGGGTGCAAAGGCTTTTAGGCCTTTCTATTCTCTCCGGCACCTCTCTTTGGTTCCTTCTCGAGACCTGTTCCTTTTCGGCGCTTGACCCCATGTCTTATTGGCCACATTAGATTGTGAGTCTTTTCTTCCTTGCAAGGTCATTTTGTCATTGTTCCACTTGTTTTGGTTGATAATTTTTTTGCACTGGCTTCCATATGCAGGTGTTCCCTTGTGTGGTGACCTTTTATCTTGGTCTTTAGCATCAGGTTTATTCTCTGTGATCTGTCTGGTCATGTTGGCAGATTCCCCTATCTGGTTGTAGATTTTTTTTTCTCATATTCTGGTGTTGGGCCTTTAGGCAGCTCTTGGGCTGCAAGCAGTCCAACATTTCTGTTTGTTGGACCTGCTAGTGATTGTTGCCTACCTCTCAGTCTGCTTTTGAATGTCCTTACTCTTATCTGAATTCTTGTATCCCTCAATGGACGAGCAGGAAAATGGGAGTTTTGTCCTCAACGTAAGATTCTTTTCTTGGAGTCTGTTTAGAGGCACAGGACCCACCCCTCTGTTTGTTTATGTTCATGCTCTTAGTACTGCTTACTACAAACTGGGGCATGCAACTAGAGGGAAGGCTCATCTTGAGTTGGCCTTCAGATTATTTTTTTTTTCTGTCTGCCAGTGTCCAAATCCTACTGTGGGCAGCGGTATAACCCGACTATCTACAGTAAATTCCTGCGTCCCTTGATGCAATCTCAGAAAAGGGTTTTAGTGTGAGTATAAAAACCCAATTATTTTAATTCCTAAGTTTGGCTCTCAAACTTCAGAACTAAATGTTACGTCAGTAGATATAAAAGCATTGATTTACATATCGTTTGGTATAAAAAGTAATATCTTGTTAGTGTGGTTATTGCATCTTTTAAATTATGAAAATGTTATTTGAGGGAACATGACAAATATACTGGTAAATGGGTATACCCTTTTTAACATTTAAAATTTTGTTTTTATCTTGCAGTTATTGGATAATGTTGAAAACAAAATGAAAGGCACATGTGTTGAAGGAACAATTCCAAAATTATTCAGAGGCAAAATGGTGGTAAGTGTTTGATTTAAGCTAGGGTCACCTAAAAACTTTTAATGCTTGTGTTTGTGAAAAGTACACGTGTCAGTAATGTAAATATTGTAAAAGAAAGCTTCACTATGAAAATGCATACACTACTGCACATGTCTTTTTGAAGTCTTCACAAGCACCCTGGGAGCCTCAAGTTCTGAAAAAACGCGAGGTGGCCTTTTGCCTCTAGCAACTTCCTGTTTAAATTGTTGGGCCTCACATAGTCATGAATTAAAAGGAAGATGCAGTCAGTTCTTGACATTGCTAGTAACAGTCAAGTTTTAATACTATTATGCCCTAGAATTTTGTTGCTTACAAGGTACCTAAAGGTGTACATGATGTCTGCATTTTATCCTTACAATAGGTTTGCGTGCTTTAAGTTGAGTAGGAACACTGTAAATAAACGTAAGGATGGTTTTGATTTAGTTAGACTAAATAAAACACAATCTATTTTAAGACCAATTACTCTGACAGGATCAGGGTATGTATTTAATTGCTTCTACGTGGAAATAATGCAACAATCAGAAAAAGCATGAAAAGCCCTCCTTTGACAACTTTCACACTATATTAATTGTTCAGATGCTAAGTGGTATTTTTTTCTTTCTATTTTTTTCAGTCCTACATACAGTGTAAGCATGTAGATTACCGATCTGAACGGATAGAGGACTACTATGATATACAGCTGAGTATAAAAGGAAAGAAAAATAGTGAGTCCTCCTTTTTTGTTACTTTTATTACACCCATTAAATGGTTACACAACATTAACATGTTAGATCATTCACCCATTTAGTGAACACAAGCTGTAATATATATATTGTACTGATCTACAGGTTCATCCAAGTGAGATATGGCCTGTGTTCTGACAGGGATGAATGAGGGGTTGTTGGGGAGGTGCTGACAATTGTTTGAGTCTGGTGTTAGAAAATTAGCTAGTTGAGGCCTTAGAGCTATACAGTAGCCGAGCTGAACAAACCCCAGCTTAAATAATTTAAATAATTGATGAAAAATTGTTTTCAAACCATTACGATGATTTTGAAACTGAACACCTTTTAATAACGGAGTTAGGCCCCTTTCACACAGCTGGTCGAATCGGGTGCGTCTGTCCGTTTTTCAGGTGGACATGATCGGATGCCCAATGCAAGTCAAGGGGCAGCTGTGTCCGGTTACCCCTGCCTACGGCCAGGTCCGGAGAAACAAATGGATTGGTTTCATCTGACCTGATTGTGTCGGATCAGGGGGTAATTTGATGTTAATGGACACATGTCCCCATAGACAGACTTGGGGTCCAGACAGACATGGGGTTCCGGTAATTGCATTTTTTTCCCTCCATCGCAAGGAAATAGAAGGACATGGATGTCACATCAGCTCAGTAATGCTGTGATCAGGATTGGATCCGTGCACAGATCCTCTCCTGATCAGCCTGCGTGAAAGGGGCCTTAAACTTTAAAGTTTCATAGCACACCCCTGTGGAACGACTATTATTTTAATTTTTTTTGCAATATTAAATTAAAATTAGAAAATAAAAAATGCTAATTGGAGGGTTTTTTGTGACAGAAGATGCATGCAAAATGTCTTCTTTTAAAAAAAACTTGTGGCTTGCTCCTAAACAATTTTTTTTATTTTATGTACACTACATTTGGCACATTTGCAGAGTGGTGTACAGTTCCGGCTCATTCTTGGCTTTGTAAGATAGACACACCAATACGTATACATTTTACTTTACACTATTTATTGATTAAGATAGTATGCAAATTCCTAAGCACTCCTGTTTTGAGAGCTGCATATTGCTGTGTTTAAAGTTTATTAAACTTGTCTCCTATATTTCAAAAATATACTTTTATTTATGGTTGAATCCACTTTAATCCATATATTTTATCTGGTTTATAGATTTTAACATTCATAATTTTCCCCCCCACCAGTCTTTGAATCTTTTATCGACTATGTAGCAGTCGAACAGCTTGACGGCGATAATAAGTATGATGCTGGAGAACATGGTTTGCAGGTAAAGAACTGAAACTACTTTTGCTAGAAAACTATCCTAAATATTTGCATGTTTCTAAGGCCCATGCAAGCTTTTTCATTATTAGCAGTTGCAGTGTTTTAAACACTCTATCTCATATATGTGCCTGCTGTTATGTAGTGGTCTCTGAATATTCATAATTTCCATTTTCTTTTAAACCTCACTTGAATTGAGAACAGATTGTAGAGCTATCGCTATGGTGATTGCAACTAAGTTCCTCTTTTCTTTTATGCAGGAAGCAGAGAAAGGTGTTAAATTCCTAACGTTACCACCTGTATTACACCTTCAACTAATGCGATTTATGTATGATCCTCAAACAGATCAAAATATCAAGATCAATGACAGGTAATTCATGTTTTAGTTCAATCTGACTTTATTAAAGTTTCAATTACACTTGAAAAAGGTGAAAACACAGGTTCACCGAGACAAAAAGGACAACATAACAAAAATTATCGGAGTGGATAACATCAACAGTTTAGACTGAAATACATTTATGTCACAATTCTATCAGAGTGCCAGGGCAGGATGCAAAGTGAGCATCTCAACATCGAGCTATGGGCCCTTATGTCAAACCTGACCCAGGGATTATCAGCACCAGCCTACCGGATTCCCCCCTAATGTGGGCACGTGACACATCGGAATGGCGTATTCATGGAGTTCCCTTGGCCGTGTTGTGCAATATGGAGATGATTGGCAGTACCAATGACAGAAGGGTTAGGTAGAGGGACAAGGGGGAGGGGTACATGCATAGGGATGGAAAGATGGGAAAAACAGACCTGTTGAAGTAGAGGGAGGGACAGGTATGGGTACAGCGGACGCCCACCTCCTGCCATGCAGCTATGTGATGCTCGTATGTGGACATATCAAGGTGAGAGGCCTGCCAGGAAGCCGTCCGAGTTTCTGTTGACCAGCCAGGCAGACCAGGTGTGTACATATTTATCTCCCGCTTCTCGGTCCCCCGCCAAGAGGTTCTCTAAGTCGGCAATACGATCCATTTCCACCACCCACTAGGTAATTCATGTTTTTTGGGGGGAAACAATGTGCATGCTTTAAACAATTTGCAGTACATTCTTTTTAAACTTGGGGTTTACAGTAGCTTTGGTATTGCTGCTGATTGTGACATTTTGGAAGGTAGTAACATTATAGTAACCCAGTCCCTTGTCCGTTTGACTGTTAAGGACCACAGTCTTCTGCTGTTACCTCAGAATTACAGGGGGTAGTTCTGCCCCTTATTGATGCATTGCGATACTACCTTGTAGTTGGAGGATAAGCCTACGTTCCCAGCCTTGTGTTTTTCAGAGCTCCTACAGCTGCAAATAACTTTTTACTACACCTGCTATTTGAGTTGTTCCTCCTTGCAGACTGGAAGCACTCTGGCAGGTCTTAAGCCCCGCAAGTGTGTTACATAGTTACATAGTTACATAGTATTTGAGGTTGAATAAAGACATTAGTCCATCAAGTCCAACCTATTAGGATCTAATTCTAGGAGTACCTGTACCCCTGTATATTACGGTCCCTTAAGAAATCAGGGATGTTGGATGAAACTGTTCACTTTTGAAAGGGAATTTGTGAAATGGTGGTTTATTTCCTCTGTGGATACACCAGTGAACCCACCTTAACAGGAAAACTACTTGACAGGTAGAAGGTGTGCTTTGAAAAGGATTCTACTGACGGTAGCTGGAATACCTCATTAAGTCCCAGTGTGATCTGGCTGGTTATGCCTTTTTCCCCCTCTGTTGGCATTGACCTTAACATGTCAAACCGTGGCAGAATGGGTTAGAGCCATCAAAAAGGATCTCTTCACAAATGGGGTAGAAGTCTAAGTTAGCATGTGGAACAAATACCTAGAGCCTTATGTTTCAGTTGGGATGGATTATTATAAGCATCTAAACTGATGTCTCTACAGATGCACAAGTCACTATGGTTATGATGCTGATGCCACTTCCAAAGAGCACTTTTCTCACTTGGCCCCCTTGGAACACCATCTCTTTGGCCCTAACACTTGATACCATGATTAGGAATGTCACTGAAGGCCATAGCATACTTCTTCCTCAACATAGGTTCTAGGATGGAATACCATCCGTCTCATTTAACTACTTTTGCAGTAGGAACCTTCAGATTCTCATTGCCTGACTTGGAATGCCCTTAGGACTCAGTCATAGACTAGCTAACCTCTTTCAAAAATCTTCTGCATGAAGATGTGCCCCCACTTGTACAAGTGGGGGTGGGCTGGGCATCCTTTCAAGCACTTGGGTACAGTGTGTGCTCCTCTTAGGCCCACAGGCTTATTCATTTTCTCTGGTGTCCCCTTCAGTTGCTCCATCTCATCTCCACTTGTGCTATTGCACAAAATAATGCACCTTCCCCAGTCTCTTTG